ATTCGAATCCCACCGCTGCCACTGTGTTATGTTCGGTGCAAGCCACACAGGAGTCCATTGCGGGACAAGACGAGGACAGATTAATTTTACAACGAGCATGCGCATATAATACAGAGAGAGAGAGAGAGAGAGAGAGAGAGAGAGAGAGAGAGAGAGAGAGAGAGAGAGAGAGAGAGAGAGAGAGAGAGAGAGAGAGGAGAGAGAGAGAGAGAGAGAGAGAGAGAGAGAGAGAGAGAGAGAGAGAGAGAGAGAGAGAGAGAGAGAGAGAGAGAGAGGAGAGAGAGTACGGAGAGAGACAATACGTCAGCAAACACTATACACTACACGCAGTACTCACGTCGGCTGGCGTGAGAGAGTCGGTGCTCGTGCCGTTCACTTCCAACACAGCATCACCCACCACCATGCCGGCCTTCTCGGCACAGCTGCGCGGCTCGATGAATGAGATGAACACCTGCCGGTCGTTGGGCTGCATAGCCGGCGGGTCCTGGTCAGTGCCGTTGGGAACGCGATCGCACTCGTCATCCATGATTGTGTACTCACCAAACTCAATGATAGGTGTCTGCGTCTGGAACCCCTCCAGAAGCACAGTGCGCTGTGAATTGCGAGGAGGCTTCACGAGTATCGATTGCACTCCCTCAATATTAGGTGCCGATGCTTTCCGCGAGTCCCCGGGAGATTCCCCCGAGCCATCGATCGTAGCCAGTGGATTCGGACTGGAGCCACGTCGATCAAGCCGCGCAGCAGCTGGGGTGTTACGTCTAGTGTGCTCGGACACTGTTTCTAATTCAAAACTGTCGCCACGGTTACGGCCAAAGAACTGCGTAACGCGTGTGAAGAACCCATCTTCCGGTGCACTTGATGATGTTGATCTGCTGCGTGATTTAGGTTTGATAGAAGAGGAAGCCTTCTTCCTTCCGATAGGTAAACTACTAAAGTCCACTTGATCTTCATCCAGTGCTGAGTTGGCGACAGGGGCAGAGGCAGAGATTGGTGGCGTAGTGTAGCCCGACGACATGGGAGATGCTGCTGCGCTGGCGCTGCGCTTCGAGACGGCTGGTGGCGCACTCTCTATGGACAGACTGTCCTGTGCAGGTGCTGCCGCTGCTGATTGCCTGGACGCGTGTTCGTCTGATTTGGTGCCCGGTACGTTCTCAACCGTCGCTGTCAAGCTGGCCGAAACTGGCCGCTCAGACTCATGGTCGCTATCGCTTTCCTCGTCGGAACTTTGCACACTACCCAGTCGGATCTCCAGACCTAGTTGTCTCACAGCGCTCACGCTGATCTCCCTGCGCAGCAAGTTCTCTCTGACGTCGCTTTCAACAGGCCAATCAGTCGACATGCTCGTCTCCAGTATGTCACTGAGCTGAAGTGGCACCGGGCTCTCGGCTGTCTCAATCGTAGTTGATCTCGGCGATGCAGGCTGACTGGCGGATGAACGGCTGGATAGGCGAGAGTAGATCCTCTCAGTAGCCGGTATAGAACTTTGGCTCGACGAAGAGCTTAACGGACGTTGCAGCGGGACGTCCTCGGGCGTACAGCCCCCCTGCTCTCTGTGACATTTCGCTGCTTCGCTGATCAAGCGCTCTGCATCGCCCAGACCCTGCAGTATGCTGGTCGGCAAGCAGCCAACCATCGGATAGTCCTTGGTTGTGGCCGATGTCGTGATCTCCACATCAACACGCTTGCCCTTGCGATCCGTCTTGGGGCTGCCGCTGGGTACATCGGCCTGGCGTATGGAACGTGTGAGGCTTGGGTTTGTGATGCGCGGTGGCTGGGACTCTGCTACATTGCCGTTGCCGGCCGTGGGTTTGTTGTCCTTGCCACGGCCACCACCACCACCACCGCTATCGCCAACTCCTCCCGCACCCTTGTCGGTCGCCGCCGTAACAGAGCTGGCCTCCGGGCGTTTGTCGACCTTCATGTCGTAGCCGGGACGTCCGCTGGCGGCGCAGTGCAGCAGGGCAGTGCCCGGACGGTGAAAGTGGCAGCGCCATCGGCCATCACGCGTGCGACCGTACACCGTCACCACATCTCCGGCCGACACAGCCGACGACAGATAGCCCGGCACCAGGTAGTACTCTTTCTGTATACACGTCGTGAAGTGGCAGCGCTCAAATGCCGATCCCGACGAGCATGCTTTCTCAGAGGTCTTGTCTAGATGGCGTCCACGGAACTGTTCCTCTTCCTTCTCCAGCTGTTCTAATAGCTGCTCTCTTGCGTGAAGTTGTTCGTGTAGGCATGTTAGCCGAGGATCCGGTAGGAGCGGATCCTCTTCATCGTCCTTTGCGGGCGACATGGCTCCCGGATTTCCGGGCTTTTTCACTGGGGATGATGCTGGTGATGTTTTCGGCGTTCTCGTGGATGGAGGAGTCACAGCGCCCTCCTCGGATGCCTCGGCGAGCACCGCAGAGTCGGGACGTGTGGACGTTCTCATCAGGCTGAGCATGTTGCGTGTGCGCAGCGATGCCTTGCGACTCTTCCGCTCCAGGGTCACACGACTCTTGACCAGCATATCCAGTGCCTCCACTCGATCTCGCTCCTCCTCTGCCTCGTCTTCAGCACCACCAGCCTTGCTTCCACTGCTACCAGCACTACCACTCCCACCATTCGCAAGAGCAACGGAGACGCAGTCCTGGATCTTCGCAACCCAAGTCATTACAGAGACCTTGTTAGCCGCTTGAAATCGATACTCGCTCATATCCTGACAAGTCAATGAAAACACGTTGTGCCTCTCATTGCCACCAGCAGTCCCAGCAGCGGCCACGGGTTTGCTCTCCTGACCGTTGGACCGCTGTGACTTGTAATCAATGGCCAGCAGGCAGTTCGATACATCCAGGAACCCAGCCTTGTTCAACAGCTTCGGATCGGCCAGGCTAGCTGGAGGCGTGGTGCAATACGCTGGATCCTTCTCTGCGTCCTCGTCGCGATAGAATCGCAGTGTCAGGCCGTGTAGAACCGTGTAGTAGAGCTTCCACGCTCCCTCACGACTCTTGCCGCGCTCGCTGACACGCTGCTGGTACAAGTAGCCCATCTTGCTGATGCGCTCGCCAGACGGACTCAGCGTGGCGGCCATGCTCCTGGACACTGCGGTGCGTGTGCGTCTCGCTATCGGAGTTGCGGCTGTTGTTGCTGTTCGCTGACTTGCTGTTTCTCCTCACCGCGCCAAGACAGATCTCTCGCGCCCACGCCACAGGAATATCAGAAGTCACTTCAGTAACAAGACGAGGCTAACGGCTGAGTATATTATTCACCGCCCGTGTGCCTAAACTGAACTCTTCAAGTGTCGAACCGGCCGGTACACTCGCGTGCGCCAACACACTACACTGGACGTGCACAGCAACAGTACTGCACGGTTCATCGGCTGCCGCTTCTTGAAGAAAGAATGGCCGGTGAGGGATCCTGGTACGTATTTCTAGTAACACGCCGTTGTCACTGTAGCGTAGATCTTCAGACTGATAGTAGTGATACTGAGAGCAAGCCTGAGGGTGATGCTGGAACTTGAAGAAGTAATTATGGACGAGGAGGCTGATGATTTTTGTGAAAATATTGTCTTGGGTATTTGCCACGCATTCAGACCACATACCGCAGTCTCTACACATGGACACAGTCAGAAGACCTGCACTGGAAAACGCACAGCATGGGTCAAGTGCGACAGTTTGAAGGAGAACTGACTGACTGGTACAGTCATGGTCTATCCGCGCGGAGCCCAAACTGCAGAGCATGGTAGTCATAGAGACCGCGTAGTCCGTCTCTTCCATCCCATGTATGTCCGTACCAGACCATCACAAATTCACAATGACTGCTGTGATGGTCTGTCATGATCATCGCAGTGCAGCGACTCGTAGATCTAGACTATGGCCAGTATGGGGTAGATCTACCGGTGTACTTGCTCATGGTCAGTAGGAAACCCGGACACTGCATACAGGGAACTACACGCAGAACTGGATCAGATCTGGACGTAGTCGTAGGACTCAAGCTTCGTAACCATAGCACATGCCACCATACATAATCGTGAGCAGTATTATCTTGTCAGGGCCCGATTGTACTGCACGTGTGTCATGTGAGTTAGGGAAGACAACAATGTCACCCTATTAGTATTGAGGAATCCTAGCAGTGCTGCTAGTAGGTACAGTATAGCACAGCAACCTCCCGCTGATTGTCATGCGCACACGCAGCCTACATAGTCATTATGTACTCAGAGTAGCTAGCACTCGCTGATTGCTAGCAAAACCAGGGTCTGAGAGGTGTGTGACAATCTGTCAAATGGGAAACTACCCAACGGGGAATTCCCGGAATGTTTAAAGCGAACCATAACGGCATAAGGAGAAACACAACCAATGCCGGATCAGGACAGTGATGCTGCATGGTAGTCACGTTGACAAAGTCTCCTTTGAGAGCATCAGGAGGGAAGACGTTGCTACCTAGGGCATGTTCGATTGGTAGGATCGGGATCCCGATCCACCGGATCCACTGGATTCGCACCCTTTCGATTGGTCGAATCTGGATCCGGATCCTTCGGATTTGGATCCGGTCAACCCACCTCGGGGAGCAGGGTTGACCGGATCCAACGGATCCAAATGTGACCTTTGTGCGTATATGGCGGGTAAAAATTGTTTTTGTACACATTGTGGTACGCCCACGTGCCGGCCACGTGGATGGAGATAGAGCTAGCTAGCTTGTTGACTTTTTGTACAACTGGCGCGGTATTAAAGTACGACTTTTTATTACTTCGTCAACATGGCAACAGTCAAGGCCCAAAAAAAGTGTCCAGTTGACTCTGAAGGATCCGACGGATCTGAGATCTGGATCCCGATCCTTACCAATCAAACATGCCCCTACATTGTACTTGTATAAAAAACCTATCCACATCATAAATAATTTAAAGGCAATTTCAGCACCACTTGAACAAATGAAAAGAGCATTGTATAATTGAACTGAACAATAATTTCTAAAGTAAAAAATATTTCTGTGATACCAACCTCTTCTTCAAAAAAATACTTCTAAAGTAAAACAATAGCCCTTCACACTTGAGACAAATAAGAACCTATAACTCCTTGCACTGGCGGACCGAATGAGAAAGAGCATGGGTATGACGTGCACCAGTGAATGTATTACACAGAGCACTGCAGTCCCACTAAACAGCTGCTACTGTGCTGCTGTGACGGTGCAGTAGCCCAGTACATGTAACTGGACAACCTGTGATACCGTCATCCATGCTCCGTGAATCTTTATTCGGACGTAAACTTGCACTGTCCTGCTTCAGCGGAGTCTCTGGCACTGCCACACTCCACGGTAGCCTTCAGTGAGGCTCCAACAGTTCCAGATGCAGTGAGCACTTCACCGGTGGGTGTCAGAGCGGAAACACTGATCTCCTCGCCACTGGTACCGGTTAGAGTGACCTGTGCACACATACACATATTATGTACATACACAGCAAAGACTACAGACACTTTGTCTACACATATGTACACACACATATGTACACACACATATGTACACATCCACATACACACACACACACACACACACACACACACACACACACACACACACACACACACACACACACACACGCACATACACGAAAGCATGCACCCGCACAAGCACAACACACAACCTATGTTTGCGAGATTACGGTGTGTCACCTTGTATTCTGCAATTGGCCCGGTGTAACAACTGTACCTTTGCCAGCATCTTGCTTTTCTCAAGGGAGTTCTGGATTTCTTGTCCGGTCGGATATGCAAAGTTGCAGTGTGTGAAAGGCTGAAAGTCCAATCGGTTTCTCTGACAAAAATAATACTCCAAGGTACATTTCTACGTTGGAAATATACGTTCTATCATTGAATGATGACAAGGTTGGTAACCGTTTTAAAAGCATAATAATCATGCCAGAAGACTGCAAAAAAAAGAATAATATGGAACTAAATATTCATTGGCTTGAGGGAAAGATGCAAACGGGAAAAGTCTGAAGAAAGAAATGACTGTCACCAGCAGGACGAAAAAAATGGGCTTGTCCGGGATTTGAACCCGGGACCTCTCGCACCCAAAGCGAGAATCATACCCCTAGACCAACAAGCCACACATTGGAAACATGACGAATGCTCTGTCCATGTAGTCAGTTACTGTATTGGCCCGCAACAGATTTCTTTCTTTCTTTTTTTTCGAGAAACCATGAACCTCGAGAACAGAATACTGCATGATAGAGGTGGCTGACGCTCAACTGTGGTGGCAAAACTGGAGCATCTCCGCCGACCCGAGGTCTCGGCTTCAGCGACACTTCAGTGCACCAAAAAGTGGGGAGGAGTAGGCACAGGGGGAGGGGGAGTACATTTGTATAGAGGGTGAAAAATGGAGAGATGGTACATGCAATAAAGGAAAAAGGGGGAGCCAGGGTCTTTCTGTATGTAATATACAGTTCCAAGTTTTTCAAACATGTGCACGTGTACTGGTTTCCTGCATTCATGTTCGGAGTAGTCTGGCTGTAATGTTCATTGCCGTGCTGTGTGGTCACGTGCCTCGGCATCCTGCTGCTTACGCTCTCTTTGTACGCATTCATGTCCGGCGATAGATCAGACCTCATTTCCATAGGTCCGGGTCTCTGGTTTCACACTTGCTTTTTGTTGCCGTGCTGTGTTATATAACATGGCGCTTTTCCTTTCGGCCGAGGATTCTTTTTGTAAGTAAGTTGGAAACACAAGGAAGTTTGCAGTGCGAGTTGAGCCTGAAGTGATACAGTCCAGAATCCAGTAAAGCGAGCTAGACAAAGAGCTGGCCACGTCCTGACGCCATTTCTGTTATTATCAATGCATTCCGATAGCACTACAAGTGGGAGTTGCATACACTGGGTTGCCGCATGCCTTTCGGTGCATGCACAATGTGTACTGGTGCTAGTACCAAGGAGTTGTTTGTTTGTTTAGCTATATTTTATTTCACCATTAGCACAGGCAAAATCTGCCTTCTCCGACTGGGCGTATTGCCACAGTTCTCGCAAAATGATGAAGATGATGCTCTATGGGGAATACTCTCAGTGTGTCTCCAATTTACCTCAAGTCCTTGTCCTGCATTTCCGGTTATCGACTGGAACCGTTGCTTGGAGGCCACTGAGAACTTCATCCCTTCTCCCAGGAATGTCCAGCCATTGGCTAGTACCGGTGCTAGGACGTAGTACTTGAAGGGATGCAGGGGCAAACTGTGAGTGGGAGTTTTCAAATGCTGAAGCAAATAGGTAAAAGCACACAGGCACATCACATAGACAGCTAAAGGCAAGAACAAACAGGAAGATAGATATACTCAAAGTACATGTGTATGAACACAAACGCTGTACAGTGTCAAGTCCAGGATGGATACATTGTACATGTCTGGTACAATGCCCGCTTGTCTCTCTGTCTCTCTGTCTCTCTGTCTCTCATCCTTTGGATGCAGGAGGTGAACATGGTATCTTTGGGGGAATCTTGGCAGAGGCCGCAATTCTAGTCATTCGATGACTGCTAATCTGAACGTCTGGTAAGGTACACTATCTTGAAACGACTCGTGGACGGCCCTTCCCTCCATCCCCACCCCCACCCCCACCCCCTCCACCCTAACCCAATGCAATATGCTCGATGTTATGGATTTCATATGCCGCTGCCTATGGGTCCAGGCAAATTTGAGGCGCTTAGCAGAAACTTTTGATAGCGGATACAGCAAGTGAACAGATTCCATCAAGCTGGAACTTAAAATATGTACTGACAAAAGATTACTACTACCATGTATGTGTGTGAACTTCCAGGCTATAATCAAGGCCAAACAAACAGTCTGCATGTCCTATCCCACACTGCCATACAGCACTGCATGCTTACACGTGGACATTCGCAGGCGACACTCACCTCGTCTTTGGGCACATGGATTTCAAGCGGTGAGGAAGCATTGAAAGTCTGCCATTTAGTAAAGGCGCACGCAGTGGCCGTCATGTTGCAGTTCAGCATGTAGTCGTACGCAATGAAATTACTTCCGGCTGGGGCTTGGATGAAACTAGTGTGGAGGGTGAATGGATTTGGCAACCTGGCACACAGGACAAAGGACACGGCCAAACAATTTGTATCCCAATTCAGCAGATTCTTTGAAGGCAGATTTACTACTACTTAGGCAAGCAAAAAGCCACCAAATCTCAGATAGAAAATGCACTCCACTGTGAGTATCACTGAATATCTGCATGACGCACTTACACTGCAGCAATGATGTAATGGAATCGGACTCCGCTGAAGTCGGAATATGTATGCCACAGCTGTACAAACACCATACATACACACAAACATACATACACAAATACATGTGCATACATAATGCATACACATACATACGTGCACATACACACACACACACACACACACACACATAGTATTATGCACACACATGTACAACAGCAGCCAAGACTGGCATTCCACAGGCCATTGGGGTATTGACTTACATGCACACAAAATTCAGAATGCCAACATATGACACGGTTTGTTCAACTTTCCACAACACAGAATGGATTAAAGGTAATATACAGTAGAAGTATCCCTGGCAGTGACCTCACCTCAAATGGTTCCATTTTCGTGTCAGAGAACACAGTCTGGAACACAACATCCATAATGATGGCGGGTGCATCTGATGACATCACACACATGCATGGACAAAATATGCAAGTCCGTACACACACGCATTCACTCACGCAGGTACACACACACACACACACACACACACACACACACACACACACACACACACACACACACACACACATACACACACACACACACACACACACACACACACACACAAGGCCGACAGGAACGCAAAGACAAAGAATTCACCCGAAAACTAAGCACAATGTCACAACATAATGAATGAGCACCCCACGGTCAGCCGTACAGACACACAATGGACTGAATAGATATAGGAGTGCCGTAAAATCCCGCCAAAGCGCCCGGCCTCTCCCATGCGCCTCTCCCTGACTTCTTGTATGGCTCTGTGAAGTGTGATGCCGTACCGCACTGCAGACGCGTGCTCGACCCGGTTGGAAATGCACGCAACTGGTCACCGACCCGGTTGGAAATGTACGCAACTGGTCACTGACCAGGTTGGAAATGTATGCAACAATTCACACCCTCGACTCCTGACCAGGGATCGCACAAACCCTGGGATTTGATCGGTCTGTACGACTTCCTGCTCTTGACCTTCGGTCGCTGTACGAGACACACACACAGTTTTCGTAGGGCGAGTACTTTCTCATGGACTACCGAACGCGGCAAGTAGGACTCGCCCATCCGCCCCTCCCCACCTGGACCTACCACTCGAAGGGTGGCGGAGGTAGGGTCGCTCTGGCGGGATTTTACGGTACATGTACAACATGACAAAGGCCAACTCCTGTCTTGTATGTGTAGGTTAGTATACAGTGGAATGTGCCCTCTGTTCACACAGACCTTACAGAAGCCACAGAAGCCTGAACTTCCAATGCATGCAGAACGGTTTTTTGCAGCTCGCATTCAGAACGATTTTTTGCAGCTCGCATTCCTCGCTACCCTATACTCAAGCAAGATATCTGTTTGCACTTAAACTGGTCAGTTCATGTGGATAATATCTAGCATATTTGTTCCATCATTATGATGATGGAACAGACGGTGCTAATGTCTGCCATGAGAATTATCACGGACACTTAGCCATCAGTTGAAAACAAGACAACGCCTCTGCTCGCCAACTAACCTGGTTTAAGAATCAATCCATCGGCCCAGCGACAAGTCCTCTTCAGCAACGCCACCGTATCCTCATTCATGAATTCTGCACGAAAAGAAGAAATGACATCTCACTCGGACTTTTAGAGACAGACCTTGGAAAGGAGTTGGACCGGGCTGAAGTGAAGGTTCTGAAAGAGACCTAGGGTTCCCTGTAACAAGGCCATGCCTATTGGGACTCCCCTAGTCAAATAATAAATACAACTACTACTACTACTACTACTACTACTACTACTACTACTACTACT